GAGTATCTCTAGATATTTATTTTCAAATCATTGTATAATAGCTTTAATTTCTAGAGAGAATAATTTGTTTAGTGGTTTGAACTAGCCCTACTTCCTCTTTCTCTGCATATAATGTAGCATTTTTGTTGTTACCGAAAAATGAATATTAGAATATTATAATTTGGTAACTCTTAAAATTGTATTTTCCCCTTCCCTAGGGGATTAATTGATTATGTAACTGTTAAACTAAAGTTTTACAAGTATTTACAAATGTGGTACCTAAATCCTTTGTTTCTTAGATTGTATTCAGCTAGGGTATTGACAGAGATACAGTATCCTAGAATGTTATTAGCTATTAAAGGAACAAAATCAAAGAAACCAAAACCAAAGCCTGTGTCCACAGATTGGCATCATATTGCTACAGACTTGTATTGAGTCAAGCTTGCATTGATCTTAACAGTGGTCATATTGTTTTCTAGAGGTTCAACAGCCTAGTTGGGCAAGACCTTCTCAGTAAAAGGCCATTCTCAGCAAACAAACAGGCAACTGCTAAAAGGGCAGTCAGTGCTCCCCTCAGCAAACAGAACAGATGGCCATAAAGAAAATTTAGGACTAGACATACCGTCTCCCCAGCCAGAAACTCCAGTATTATCTACACATCTGCGCTCTTTGGAATTTTGACCCCAAACATGCCATCTAGATTTGTTGGGATTATAATCTGATCCCCAAAGCCTGTATAAATTTAACTTCTCTTTTGCCTGACTACTGGGATATGCATGATCTCACCCAGATGGAATAACGTCCCACCTAGTTTTGCTCACCTGTGTTTCTGGGTGATTTTTAATGTACTGTTGCTAACACTTATATTTTTAGCTTGCTTTTCTTTGTTTCTGTGGATGAATGAATATTTGGAATATCATACTCTTAGTTTTCTAATCTGCTTTTTTCTGTTGTTTTAAGAAAATTATTAATGATTTTAGAGGAACAAAATATTTTCTTAAAATAGTGCCTGTGTATTTCTGTTTTACATTTGAGTTTACATTGTATAATTTGAAAATATTAGAAAACTACATATGACCATTAAATAAATCACTTAAGTATACATAAATTTACTGTAATAGAGAAAATAGAAAATCATTAAATTCATGAATTTATTGTATAGACTTTAACACTAGTTTTTAGAGCTAAGGGACAAACATCGATTTTTCTTTTTTTAAATTCCCTATAAACAGATGGGAACGTTTTTGTTTTGGTTCCAGTGATCAAACTCATGACCCTGTACTTGCCAGGCAGGGGCTTATGCCACTGAGCTAAATTCCTGGCCCTCAGTCATGGATTTTTAGCATTAATATTTAGCCTAGGGAGGCTGATAATTACTTCCATCCTTAAAATGTATTATACTTAGTGGCCACTGTGTTTATGAGTGATGATGGCTGAACTGATTATTATGCTTTGCCTTTACTTTGTGTCAACATATGAGTATACTTTATTCAGTTTTTAAAATCATATCATTTATAAGAGGTACTAAATTTAATTAAAAACTTCTTGTGGTGTACTGTACTTAATTTTAAAAAAAGAGCTTCTTTCAGGTCCTTACTAAACCCATAGTTTGTTTTCACAGTTTGATTATATTTCTCTAACAATTCAGTGGTAAAACTTTTTAAAAATTATGTAATACATTTCATAGGTGCCATGTGTAGGCATTAATCTGGCTGTTTTTAACCTAACCTACTTCAAAATCTCCTGGCTTTCCCTTCATGAAGGAGATAGATGTTTGTGCATAAAAAGTGCAACAAAATCTATTGTGAAAACTCATTTAGCATGATGTCAGCAGTATATAAATAGAATCAATAAATGCTCTTAGCCAAATATGAGTGCAGATAAACCTAAAAGAAAATCCATACTTCATTCTGTACTGAAATTTAAGGCACTATTATACATATTATTCACTTAATAAGATATATGTATATATTAGAAATAATTATGAGGAAATACTAACTTTTTGTGTCTTCTTTTAAACCAACCTATTTATCAGTGGACTATTTTCAAATAGCCACTGTAATTGTGATTGTCATAAACTAGTTGCTTACCAGTTAGTCACATATGTTACATAAATTGCAGACTTATAATCACAAGTTATGAATATTTTCTATAAAAATATACAAAAATAACAGCATATGCATATATTTAACATGCATAAACAAATACAATCAGATTATTATATTCATTAGTTTAACATTAGAATACCTTTTAAATTTAAATTGTATTTTAAAATTTCTCAAATTACTTCACAAGCAGCTAAAAGAAAACATATCTTAAAATCAGGTTAGATACTTATGCTGTTTGACCATTTAAAAATCTTTGGGTAGGATTACTTAAATGACATATTTGTGTGTGTATATGTGATTGGAAAATACCCTATGCATTCTTGTAGTTATGGGTACCAGGAATCTTAGTTCAGGAATTAGAATAGCAACTAAAAAACATCATATTAAACTCTCTTACACCCTCTGTTGTTCTTTTGGGGGAATACTACACATACATTCCCATTACTGAATTGTCATCACAATTACTTAAACTTCCTGATAAAATTAATAATTATTTCATTATACATAACCTCCAAATTAAATTAAATAATAAAGAGTTTGTAACAGTGTTTGTTTTTATATTACAAGATATGTTTTTTCATCATTTTACAGCTTAAATGAAAGATGAGGATTTGTTTTCCTTTAATTTTTCCTAGTTATCAGTTTCAAACTCCCCAAATGTTTCACAGAATATATAGCGTGTTATTTCTACAGTTTCCCAGAATTGCATATACTGTCATTCCTTTATAAACCTTTCAATAATTTCTTTCTAAAATAAGTCTGAAATTATCTGTACTGAAATTAAGAATTTATAACTGTAAGAACAGATGTTTTCATAAACATTTGTTATGATTAATTTCAATTACAAGACTGAAGGAATGAAGCAGTTTTTCCTGCTTCAAAACTATATTGCCTTTTCCCCATATAGCAAAATCTGAAATCTTTTCTCTAATATTGTCAACTTACTCCTTATTTTGTTTTATAAAAAGAAAAACTTTTTTTTCCCCATATTACCCTGAAAATTAGATTTCATGTGATATCTCATTTGGTTAACAGTTAAAAACGTAAGAAAAGCTTTGTAATATCTTATGATGATAAAAGCTGCCTGTTTTAAAAAAAAATTCTCCTTTTAAGTATTTTCTATTCAATCTGGTAAATATCAGCTTAAAGGAATAAGTTTCTGTTCGTGAAATTGTGTATATTTAAATTCTCTTTTGTTTTAAAGAGAAAGTCTCACATTTTAAATGTATACTATAGTTCTTATTCTATGCTGATTATGAAATGTTTCACAGGAAATGACTGCAAGCTGTTAAATAACATGTGTTATGGCAAATTTTCATTTTGCAAGATAGAGACTAATTTTGCTTTCATCTTTTTCATTTATTATAGTGTTACAGATTTTTAAAAACAAAATGAAGTATGTGCTGTCTTACCCATGGTTTCAAACAATTAGCAACATATACCTAGCTGATTTTAAACATTTAAGTTTTGTCAATTATTTTCTTTAAATTGTCACATTTTTAAGAGTAATAAATCATTATGGTGCTAGTTAAGTTTAAAATAAAACACCTATATTATATTTTGAAAAGGAGTAGAATTAAAAGTTCAAGAATTGGGCTGAGTTCAGTTCTCAGAATTCTGAACATTTTGTCAGAGCTGCGAAGATCCTGAAGAGAACCAACATTCTTGACTAATGTGTAAGCTATAAAATGTTTAACACGTATGGATAGCTATCATTAAAATTACATTTCAGCTTTAAGTAACTATTTATTATGTAGTTTAATTATGTAAGTGTACTACCTTAAGTACTATACTCAGTTTATCTCTAAACTGAGAGCTCCATAATTGCCACTGGACTTAACCAAGACCACTATGCTGCTTTCCAGTGATACCTTAGATTGCTCAAAGAAGGTCAAAAGTATAATTATAGTTGAATAAATCATTAAATTATTAAATTTTGTTATAAAAATGAATATAAGCTGAAGTTTGAAAGTTACACTGTAGAAATTAGGAGTATAAAATATAACAAGATTCTAGTCTTAATTTATTTTGAAGAACAAATAGTACATTTAATTATAGTATACAGTAGCATGCCTTTGCAAGAAGTATATTTCCAAAAATTAAGGTATTAAAATTTTATAAGCAAGAATATGTGTTTTAAAAATTAGTGTTTTAAAAATTGTAGTAGTTTTTATTTTTAGCATATAAATGTTACATATATATTTGTTTTAAATTTGGATTTTTAAAAACATACCATTTTTTTGAGAGAAAATAGTTTGTTTTCCTAAATGTTGTTATATGAAACACAGCTCCCTTTTGATGTTTTTTTTTTTTTCTCTCATTTTAAATTACTAGAGTAAGTGAAGCATACAGTTGTGGGGGAAAAAATTTAAGGTATATTTAAAGTCCTTTAAAATGCATCCTTAGTCACCACTTCCCAAGTCTGCTTTCTGCTTTACCTCTCTGTCGAAGAAATTTCTAAGTAGTAGAAAAGTGTGAGTTCCAAAAAATCCTCAGATCTGGTCTAAGCTACACAACTTTTTTTGTCTGTGCCAGTGATCAGGAGAGGTGGTTAGTCACAACAACAATAACAAAATTTCATTTGTTTATAACATTAGCTTCTAAGTAAATGGCTTATAAATTTCACTTTGCCTGTGATTCATAAGAAGAAACTGCCTGCATCATACTTTGATTCTTTTAGTTGTTACTTTGGTATTACTAATACCCAATTTAGGAGTAATGGTTTTGCTTTATATTTTGGCATCTAAATGAATTTTTTTTACCTAAAGGACTCTTAGAAGGGAAGGTATAAGAGAATATATATGCTTTTTTGATTATTATATATTATAAAGCTATTACATAGATTTTTTTTTACACTAAAATGCTCAGTTTACAATCTACATTATTTCAGTGCTTTCACTTTTTTTTTTTCAGGAGATTCAAATAAAAATGGAAGAAGAACAAATTCTATCTTAGACTCTGAAGGGACTTTTAATTCATATAGGTAGGTAATAACTACTCAAGTACATAATTTTACAAGATAATGTGTAAGATACATAAGTGTTACAGGCACATAATCTTAGAATACTAAGGAACTGCTACCTCTGCTTTTAAAATGTGGCACTTTTAAAGAATATTGTGATATGTGATTACATTATTACAAATTGTAGAAAATGTAATATCTAAGATTTCATTAAATGGACTTCCTACAGATATCTATTGTTGTGCTATAATAGGATAATTGTATTAAGATTCATTATAACCCATTTTTTATTTTCCTAGTATATTTTTCGAGTACTAAAATAAAGGCTTTCGTGTAATTTCCTGCAAAATAAGAGTATATAGCTAAAGAGTAGAGAAGATATAATTCATAGTTGAATTAAATACTGTCTGTTAGTCTACTATTTGGGGTCTTTAGCAAACAAAGCAGTTTCTCAATTAGTAGTTTTTATAAGGTTTTACTACTTAACAGAATATATATTTTTATCTTATATTTGGTTAATATTCTCCTTATACTGTAACTTTAATTTTGTTTAAGTAAATGTTTTCAATTTGGCCCTTTATAACAGATAAATCAGGAAGAAAAGAGGTTAAAGTGCTCCCAGCAATACATGACAGTTCATATACTGAATGAAAATTGTATAAGAACTATCATTTTAGGAAAAAAATGCGGATTCAGCATTGGTGCATGTAAGGATTAGGGCTGGCAATTCAGATGACTGAAGAAATACTTTAGTTGAAGTATAGCGTTGTCCTTAGGATCCGTTAGTTCTAAAAATATATAACAGTATTAAAATGAACTCCTGCACACTTGGAAACTTATTTGATTATTAACTCCTGTTGTATATTAAATGTAAAGATTATGCTTATATTTTTATTTGTGTATATATTCTATTTCCTTAACTAGAACTGTGTCATTTGTTTCTTCAGATCCCAGCAGGCTTAACATTTGAGAAGGGCCTTGTATAAAGGAGACATTAACAAGGATGTAATAAATGAAATTTTAAAAATTAGTTTATATATTTAAGAAATGAGACAGTAATTGAAACACTTGACATCTTCACTTTGTATCAGTTGGGTGCTGTGTAAATAATGACTCCTTTAAGTGTCACTGGTACTAGAAAAGGCTTATGTTCCCAATGTGTTCTAAAGGGTATTATCAGAGCAGTAAAGCTCATCCTATCTATCCTATCTTAAAACTTTATAGTTCTCCAAGTTTTTCTTCTACTTCTCCAAGTATGAGACAAAGCTTGAAATTTAACATATTAAATAAAAGGTAGAATCCTGCGTCTTGAACATGTCACAGGTTATCACAACAACTAAAAAAGTGAATATAAAAGATAGCTAAATAAATACTAATTGGGCATGTAGCTGAAAAATGTTAATATAATCCTATACGTGAAATCTATGATAGTAATACACTTATTAAATATAAATGTGAAAACCAAGACAAAAGGGAAATATATTTGAAAGGAAGGAAAAATCTTAACTATATGTATACAGGTTTTTGAAAATTACATTTTATAACAGTTTTAGCTAATATTATGAATAACAGTTTTAGCTAATGTTAAGAATATTTTAATGTGAAGACAGTATTGTAGTTTATTTGTTCTTGAGTAGTTTGCAGATTAAAGTATCTTAGTATTTTTGAATAACTATTTTGAAAATGAACTCTTTTTTTTTTTTTTTTTTTTTTTTTTTGTCTTTTTTTTGAGACAGGTTCTCGCTATGCAGTTCAGGCTGTCCTTGAGCTCACTTTGTAGCTCAGGCTGGTCTCAAACTCGCAATGATCCTCCTGCCTCAGCCTCTCGAGTGCTGGGATTACAGGCATGAGCCACCACACCCGGTTGAAAATGAACTCTTAATGCATTTTTATACAATAAATACTAATGTTAACAAAATATTTTTAACCAATGCTTGTCACTGTTGGAATGTTAGGATATTAATTTATTATTATAAATAAAAGGCAAGATATGTAAAAGTGAGCTTTTAATAGTTGACAGGCCAGTGCTGCTATTTAATAGTATTATAGTATTTAAGGTGTAAAATGAATATTTTTCTACTTAGTAGCTGGTAGTTCTTATAATTAGCTTACTTGTGAATTTGACACAGGTTAAATGTAGGATTCATAGACGCAGAGGTCTAGGATATATTTTCATATTAAGGTTAACTGAAGAAAAACTATGAATTATTGTAGAATCATTAAAATGACAACAGGATTGTCAGTAAAATTTACTTTTGAAAATGAAAATTATTTCTCTATTATAATTGTGGCACTGTTAAACTAATTAGAAATAAATTATCTGAAAAATGAACATCTTCTAGCCCTCCGACTTTCATACATTCTTTTGTGTAGCATTTCAACCTTTGTTTTAAACTGTTTCAGAAATCCAACCTTTCTTTATACTTCAACAATTCATATCTTACATCTTGTACTGGCTTACCAAGGTATAGCTGTTTGAGTCCAGGATGAATACTACTGGCTTTAGTTTCCCATCTATACAATGGGCACTGTGATCTTTAAGCCTTTTCCTTTCCACAACTTTTTAAAAGACTGAGGTAAAATGTGTTAAATAAAGCCTTTTGAAAATCCAAATGCAAAGTCATTATTCTATGTTCATCCCATGTGAAATGATAACATTGTTTCCTCATTGTTTACCATTAAATGTGTGTGCACTTTTGTAGCATATACTGGCTTTTGAGTTCAGTCTTGAATTGGTATTTCATCTACAGTCTTTCTGCTATTTACATTATTGTGGTATTAGATTGTCAAATTAAAGAACAGATAGTTCTCTGGATGTTTGTTTTCAAGTTTATCTAAGTATAGTATGTCAGCTGAAATTCTGATTTCAAATATGTGAAAGACTTGGGCCAAGTTTGAGGTTCCTTTTCCCTACCTTTGAAGTGCAGATAATAAAATATGTCTGATAAGGATTAGTTTAATAAGATAAAAATCATATGATGAATGCCGAATAATGCTCATTTTTATGATCTAGCCAGTATTGTAATCATCATTGTCATCAAAATTAATCCTTTGGTATTGTAGAAATTTCTTATAGTGCTCTAATGTAGAGCTCCCAAAAGGAAGGGGAAAAATGTCTTATAGAAGAAAAAACAATTTGTTAGCAGAAAGGGAGATTAAAGCTTTAAAACAAGCTTAACTGGAGGCTTACAATTCTGTCTGGTAAAGTATTCCACGTTGCCTTGTGTAGCACATTTGTATACCTAATAAAGTTGAAGGAAGGATGTTTTACTAATAAATTCAGAGAAAGATAGCTAGAACTTGTAGCAAGTAATTTTGAAGTTTGAAGTCAGTTGACCCTTCTCTGTAGCTTTATGTGCCTAAATGCTTATGCACATATATTTTTTAATAGCCTTGAAGGGTTTACTTTTTTGTTGTTGTTTTGTTTGTTTGTTTATTTTTTACCAGGGATTATACTCACAATCTTGCACTTGCCACGCAGGCACTTATGCCATTGAGCTAAATCCCCAGCCCCACAGTTTTACTTTGGATTTGCTTTTGGACTTACTTTTGATTTAGATAGATAGGGCACAACAGTATTTAACTCATAAGGCATAAATATGATTATTATGATGCCTGAATAGTACAGCAGATCTTGTTTTCAAAATTTTGGTTAAAATTTGACTGTAAGTCTACCAACTTATAAGATAGAGAAAATATTGATTCTATGAAATAAATCTTGTACTTCTTAAAGACCAGTGTTAATGTTTTCTGTCACTGATGAACTTTCTTTCTTAATTTAATTGTTAAACTTAGAGAACCTTGCTGGTTATGAAGAAGAGCAATAGTTTCATGATGACCAGTTTAACTTAATGGTGGTAGCAAAGGGATACATGGTAAAAGAAGTATTCTTTCTCTACTACTCTCCTCCCCTTTCCAAGGGCAGCTGACCTTCTTCTCGCCAAAAGAAGCAAACCTCTTGCCAGCACATATGACTACAACTATTACATTAATCTGTTTAGCTGTAGTACCAGCTGCTTGCATGTTTTTAATTATCTTATTAGATGGTATAACAGTGACCTATGAAATAAATTGAAGGTGAACAAATCTTTCCGTTTATTACTTTTATTTCTGAGAGTTTTTGATCAATCGATTTTAACTTTCTACAAAAGTTCACAAGAAATCAATGTAATGCTTTTTAAAAGAGACTTTTAAAGTATAATGTTATAATTTCCATTATAGGAAATAACTATTTTTGTTTTTGCCTTTATTTTACCTTTAAGTCACAAGTTGTGTATATTGTCAATTTCATGTCAAATTTGGCTTACTAGTTAGTTTAGTTAAAAAAAAAAAAAAGCTGAGACCAGTTATTTGGCATTCTCTTAGAAACTCAAAATACTACGTAATTTTCACATATCAATTGACATTGTATAAATAGCATAGGATAGAATGAAATCATTTTCTGTTGTTTTAAAATAAATTTATATATTATATTTCACTCATTTCCTAGAGTCTAGATATATACTCATAAATGATCGAGTTTACTTCATTTTAAAATATAATTTCACATAGCTCCATCTATGGTATATTTTTCTAAGCTGTGCTATTAGGAAAAATGTATTGTCTTTTGGATTTTGACAGTTGGATAATTTTCAAAAGCAATGTTGATTTCAAGAGAAACCCACAATAATAAAAACCAATGGTTGTTCCATCACATGTCATTGCCACTACAGATTGTAATAATTTAGGATCCCTGGTGTTGAATTAGAAAACAGAAGTTACTTGAATATAAAGAAGATTGCAATATACTACTGTGTGTGTGTTTTGTTAATAAATCCTACAACTAGCATAGTGAGGTGACTAAAGAAAAATCCAAGGATTTGAATATTTTAAAGCATACATTTTACTTTTTAACAAAAATTTTCATACTTATGTTTTTCTCTGAAGAATACTATTAAATTTCTGATCAGGTTTTTTTTTTTTTTTTTTTGATACCATGGATCAAATTTATGCTCAGTGGCTAAATCCCCGGTCCCTATTAA